GGCGGACGGAGGACTCCCTGGGCACCCCAGGACCTGCTCTTGGATCTTCAACAGAATATGCTGGGAAGTGAATTAAAATAAAGACAGCTGTTGATATCTTGCTGCAGAAGAGCAGAGAAATGAGTCATTATTTATTCACAGCTTACATGTTTGATCCCATTGTTCGTCATCTGCAGAGCAAAGTCCCCTGAATCTGAGTTTGGCTTCAGAAAGGACTTGCACTGTGGGTTGCACTTACAACGGGGCAGGCAAATGCCTGTACTGAGACGGGACGTTACAGAAAGGCAGACTGGACTGACCGAGAGCGTAGGGTCTGGTGCAGAGAATCTGAGCTCGAGGACTTTTGAGAAGCTGCCAGAACCCGAGGAAGTTCTACAGACCCCTCTGGCCTCCGATCCTTAGTCTGAATGTGGAAATGTTGGTAACAGCCCATGTTATGTTAAAAGGGTAAAAACAGCTAAACAGACCAAAAGCCTTAAGACGGGTGCTTCCTAAGTGCCATAAAGTGTTGAATTCAATTATTTCATGTCTGCAAGAACAAGTCAGGCCCTTGGTAGTGGTTAACAGAGAAGGCACTTGGGGGACTCCAGGGCAGTGGAGGGTAAAATTCTCTTCATTCTTGACATGTGTCTCATGCTTTAGAACTCGTGAAAAGTTTCTGTTCGAATTTCCTGTGGGGCCCACATCAGCTCAGAGAGATGGGCAGAGCAGGGGCTGCCACTCAGAGATGACAGTTCAGGGAAGTGAAATGAAGAGATTTGAAGCAACCTGCCCAGAGTCCCAACACTGACCAATGATAGATCTGAGACAGGAATTTGGTTGATTTTCCGGGGACAGAGATCCCTGAACACCTGAGGCCTCTAAATCATGGCCCGGACCCTGGACCTGGAGCTCTTTCCACTCCCTTTCTCAATCCTCCTGCACCAACGGCTCTTCAGGAAGGTCGAGGTATTGGAAGAGGTGCTGAGTCCAGAAACAGCTCAAATCATTAAACAAAACATAACTCCTGTCTCTAGGTTTTACCACCTGGGCTAAAATATGGCACTTTCCTGCAAACGAAGCCTCTCTGAGGAACAAATGCAAACGTCTGGTCATCCTACCCAGCGCCCGTATTGTCAGCTGTCTGGCAGTGAGCACCCCTCCACGACCAACTGACCACACCAAGGGACCAAGTTCTGCTTGGCCCCCAAGCTGGTTCGGAACACAGGACATTCCAAACTAACTACCCTTGATGGCTATGCCAAGAATGAACTTCCCTTCGACTGAATCACCCTCGACAAGCAGTTAGTGGGAATGAACTGAAAATGTGGCACCCCAGTTGAGTTTTCAGTGGTTTCTTTTGTATCTAGTCAATGGGAGAGTGTGTTAAAACAAAAAACAAACAAAACAAAACACAAAGGCCGGGCGCGGTGGCTCACGCCTGCAATCCCAGTACTCTGGGAGGCCAAGGAGGGCAGATCACAAGGTCGGGAGTTCAAGACCAGCCTGGCCAATATTGTAAAACCCCGTCCCTACTAAAAATACAAAAATTAGCTGGGCATGGTGGCAGGAACCCAAATCCCAGCTACTCGGGAGGCTGAGGCAGGAGAATTGCAAGAACCTGGGATGTGGAGGTTGCAGAGAGCGGAGATCATGCCACTGCAATCCAGCCTGGGTGACAGAACGAGACTCTCTCAAAATAAATAAATAAATAAATAAATAAATAAATAAATAAATAAATAAAATAACATAAAAAGCCAGGCGCGGCAGCTCATGCCTGTAATCCCAGCACTTTGGGAGGCCACGGCAGGTAGATCAGGAGGTCAGGAGTTCAAGACCTGCCTCACCAACATGATGAAACCCTGTCTCTATTAAAAATACAAAACTTAGCCGGGCGTGGTGGTGGGCGCCTGTAGTCCCAGCTACTCAGGAGGCTGAGGCAGGAGAATTGCTTAAACCCAGGAGGGCGGAGGTTGCTGTGAGCCACGATCATGCCACTGCACTCCAGCCTGGGCAACAGAGCAAGACTCTGTCAAAAAAAAAAAAAAAATTGGCATGTGAAACAGAAATTTTTCTAGAGAAAAATATTTGAGGCAAAAACCTTGATAGAAGAATAAAAATTATAAATTGAGTAATAAAACTCTAAAACATATTTATAAACATGTGGACAAATAGGAGCTGGGGAAATTTTTTTAAAAATCAGAATGACATTTAACATATGGGAAAACTGGCCCATCTGAAGAAACCGCAGTCAGAAGATAGAAATGAACATACATACCCCTGAGGCAGCCACTGGAACTATTCCCCATCGTGAGGCCTGAGACAACTAAGCTGCTTTAACTGCCAACGTTCAGCTGCGAGAATGGCAGCGAAAATGAAGGCAAGACCTACATCGTCAGGTCACCTCAGCGACAGGTCACAGTAGAATTTTTGCAAGCATACGTGTCACAATATGGGGCCCAACTGCTGAGACCTAGACCAGTCCATGGTCACTTTGACAAGGGGTCACTTAAACTCCATGTTTTGTTTCAACACCTGAATCCCAGACATACCGTATTATTCTATGTGAATGAAACAAACATTAAAAGAGGAAAAAGATCTGCCTCTCCAATATATTTGATAGCGAAAATTTCAGGGTGAAGAGGGGAAAAGCTAAAACACTGAGAGAAAGGGAGAGTCTATGCTTGACCTGAAGTGCCATCCCTACCCATTTCTATTACTCCTGAGTCACCAGACAGTCCTAGGTTCAACAATTTTAAAGTATTTCCAAATTAAATTTAAAATGCAGTAGTATAAGTTCAATTTTCAAGCCAAACGCTAAGAATATAATTTATACTAATTCTAAAAATCTCCCATCAGTTATGTATACTACACCTAGTTTTTCTCTGTAAGCAACTAACTTCGTATACTTACTAATTTCTGAATCTCTGAGTTTACTGAGGGATTTCTCTGACAATGTATATATCGAAGACTGGCTATTCATTGATACATGAAGAAAAGAGAAGCACTTAGGCCAGGTGCAGTGGCTCATGCCTGTAATCCCAGCAATCTGGGAGGCCAAGGCAGGTAGATCAGGAGGTCAGGAGTTCAAGACCTGCCTCGCCAACATGATGAAACCCTGTCTCTATTAAAAATACAAAACTTAGCCGGGCGTGGTGGTGGATGCCTGTAATTCCAGTTACTCAGGAGGCTGAGGCAGGAGAATCGCTTAAACCCAGGAGGGCGGAGGTTGCTGTGAGCCACGATCATGCCACTGCACTCCAGCCTGGGCAACAGAGCAAGACTCTCAAAAAAACAAACAAAAAAAATTGGCATGGGAAACAAATTTTTTTAGAGAAAAATATTTAAGGCAAAAACCTCGATAGAAGAATAAAAAATACAAATTGAGTAATAAAACTCTAAAACATATTTATAAACATGTGGACAAATAGGAGCTGGGGAAATTTTTTTAAAAATCAGAATGACATTTAACATATGGGAAAACTGGCCCATCTGAAGAAACCGCAGTCAGAAGATAGAAATGAACATACATACCCCTGAGGCAGCCACTGGAACTATTCCCCATCGTGAGGCCTGAGACAACTAAGCTGCTTTAACTGCCAACGTTCAGCTGCGAGAATGGCAGCGAAAATGAAGGCAAGACCTACATCATCAGGTCACCTCAGCGACAGGTCACAGTAGAATTTTTGCAAGCATACGTGTCACAATATGGGGCCCAACTGCTGAGACCTAGACCAGTCCATGGTCACTTTGACAAGGGGTCACTTAAACTCCATGTTTTGTTTCAACACCTGAATCCCAGACATACCGTATTATTCTATGTGAACGAAACAAACATTAAAAGAGGAAAAAGATCTGCCTCTCCAATATATTTGATAGTGAACATTTCAGGGTGAAGATAAGAAAAGCTAATACATTGAGAATAAAGGCAGATTCCAGGCTAGATGTGAAATGCCTTCCCCACCCATTTCTACTATTCCTGAGTCACTAGAGAGTCCTAGGTTCAACAATTCTAAACTAGTTCCAAATTAAATTTAAAATGCATTAGTGTAAGTTCAATTTTAAAGCCAATCTCTAAGAATTCATAGTAATAAAAAAAGATATGAAATGATTCAGTACAAATTTCCATCACTGTTGATTCGTCACAAGTTTTAAGAACTATTAAATCAAATGGGTCATTGACGAGGAATAAAAACTGCATTAATATAGATGTTGCAGTTTTTCCAGGGATTATCTAATTGACGGAGTGGTTAGCAGGATTTGGGAAGGAACACATATTACCTGTGTAAATGGAGAATTTTAATTCTCAACAACTGAAAATTGTGCAGGTGTGCACATATAAAGATACACATACATACGAGAGAGAGAGAAAAAACTTAGTTAAAAAACACTAGACCACAGATTTATATCTCTTAATGCTAAATTGGGACAGGCATTTTTAAAAACAGAATATATTAGGAACAATAAAAAGGAATGAGCCTAAGGCTTTCCTTCCTGGTGCCACCTAAGTGTTCACAGTAAATGAAAATAAATGAGCCTTTTACCCTGGTAGCCAAAGCCCTTTTAAAAAGCTTTGTTGTGGTGTCACTGCTATATGATTGTTCAATTAATCAATCTGGTAAGATATGCAGAAACTTAACAGTTGTTACTTCCAGAGGCAGACGCTAGCAGGCCGCAGAAGAGGGAAAGACAAGTCCAGATGTCAGTGTGCAGTCTTCTGTGCCTTGTAAATGTTCTACTAGCATGTTATCCCCAAAAAATTAAACCCCCAAATGCTGGTAGAAAGCAAACATTTCAATGTGCTAATGCTTCACAGGGACAAGAATTCAGGCAGGACACAGAACAGAGAGCTTACGGTGCTTGTCGATGTCTGGGGACGGCAGAGAAGTCTTATGGAGTGGGATTAAATTCACAGCAGGGGGCTGGAATCTTCTGGATGTGCCGTCATGCACAGGTCTGCAGAGGAACTTGGGCTTGGCTGGAGAACACACAGGACTTCCCTGGGCTTCCAAGCAGCAGGCAGTCTCAGGACACTCAAGAGCTTTGAACTGGTGGCCAAGGGCTTCACTGGTGAGTGTCCCGAGTGAAGCAGGCAGACACTCATGGCGTTTCCAACATAATTTTGGAAGTTACACAACATCACTTCCACATCATCTGCCAGTGAAAAGCAAGCACTAGTGTCAAGTCTGATTAACCAGTGAGGGTGGGCAGAGACGCCACCTCTCAAAAGGAGAATAGCAAAGAAACTGCAAACATGTTTTAAAAGCCACGTGCATATTCCAGCTTAAAAATCTCCAGTACAGAGATACCTCTCAGATATGTAAGAAAGGGCCTGTCACTCTATGGCATCGGCCAAGAGTAAGTTAAGTGTGGGTTTCACTTACGCATCAGCCACTGTGAGTTGACTGACAAGTGAATACAAACATTCAGGGAAACTAACCAAAGCGCGTTACAGGGCAACAGGTAACGAAAGGTAATGTAGACCTGATATGCTGCTCTACAAAGAAACCATTTCATCCACTCTGTTCACAAGATCTATGCATTTGGAAATGGAGAGACTTTTTTCCTCCACTTTAGATTCAGGGGTACGTGTGCAGGCTTGTTACATGGGGAAACCGCGTGTTGCTGAGGCTTGGTATTGGACCTAAGAGCGTCTGCTCAGCAAAGAGACCTTATTTCTCATAAAAGGTTGCACACAGCCCACAAAGTGGCCATCCCGCAGGCTGGGAAGTGTGCCTCCCACCGAGGTAAGAGCCTGGCACGTGGAAGGAGGAAGAGTTGGGGCAGGAGCTTTACTCTGGACAAGCTGGCTAAAAAAACTTTCAACAGGTTACAGGAGGAGCCATGAATATTCATGACGGTGGTCCTGATGCACGTGTACCAACCAAACGTGTGTAACACACGACCCATGTTCACTTTGGGGTGAAGACAATATGTAAATGTGTTACAATTAGGCTCTTTACCTCAAAAGGTCTTTTCAGGACACACAGGCACACAAGTGCACAGCCTCTGTAAACCGGCCACAATCAGTCCATGGTGGGTGGGCTCTTAATAAAAGAAAGTTACTAAAAACAATCTCCTGTCCCATCAGAGCTGTAGTTATGGCTGCTAGAACAGGGGTTGGGGGCCAGTTAGTCCGTGCCTGGTGCTGAGCTGCCATGGTTTTAACAGTGCTTATTTAGCTGCTAGAGAAAAAGACAGCCCTGTGGCAATCAGAACAGTTTATTCCTTAAGTCTAGGGGTGTGTGACTCCACCCTTGCCTGGCATGGCCTTAGGTGCTGTTTGTAATTTGGTACCTTGGTGTCACAAAGCTTCCATTCTGTCAGTCGTACGATCTCTACTGCAGCAGGCAGGCTGGGCGGCTGCGTCTAAACATAAAAGGAAGGGGCATAACAAGGCATCAGATCGCCCAGCCCGTCATGGCCCAATGCCCAGCACTGAGCGGGTGAGGAGGAAAGGCCTGGAGCAGGCTGGACTGAGTGGTCCACAGGAGCCTCATTTTGGGAGCCAACTGCCTCAGCTCATGGCCCCACAGCCCAGGTGCACTGACTTACGAGTCAGTCCCTCCATCTGGAAACTCCGACAGCCTGTCCCGTTCCTAGTGCCCTCAGTTTAAGCATCTCTCTGTCAAGTCGTCAAGAAAACACTGGTCTCTGGAGATGCATGGACAGCCTAGTGCATACACTGGGCACTCAATAAATGCCAAGGGCAGGTACCTCCCTGGTGTCCAATGAGGACGACTGTCATGATCATGGCAGTGCAGCCTGAGTCCCAGACTTCAATTCCTTCTTCCCAAAATGTAGAGCAGGGGACCCAGGGTGGGGTGCAGTGTCTCTTCAGACACCTCTCCTCCTGGGCCCCCAGCCGGGAGAGGGGTGGCCTGAAGGAGCAGCGGGAGGAGGAGCAGAGATGGGAGCTGGCCCTGGCCTTGAAGGTGCCACCATCTCTGCATCGTCCTATCTTCCTGGAGGCTTCTTCCTCCAAGATTTCGCCTGAGCCACCCACTGGAGAACACAGACATCTCTCCCTGCATTCTGTGCCGAGAAACTGAGGCCCCGAATTTGCCTCTCACACTCATGTTGGAACTGTGACCAGGACCTGAGCCTCCTGACACCCTTAGAAGACACACAGCCCTCTGCCACGGGTGGGAAGGGGTTAGGGCATGGCTGAGGTTTCATCAGCAACTGGGCACTGGGGGAGCCAGCACCCCAAGACTGCACACAGGCCTGGTCTTCTGCTCTGAGGGGCCTGGGCCCCGAGCAGTGCCACGGCACCACTCACACTTCCACACCCGCCAGCCCGGCTGCAGCAGCTTGGCCAAGATAACAGGCGCTCCTGCTCAAACCACATTTCCCAGCTTTTGCGGAGTTCATCACCAGCCTCGCTAGCAGCGACTTCCCACTTCCACGCAAAGGAAACTGCCAATGAGGTAACCATCCATTTTTTTTTCCTAGAGTGAGGCCTGGCTGGAAAAGGACAGGCCACCCCAGTGGCCTGTGAACGACCTTGTGAGGGTCACCAGGCCCCCTCAGCGGCAAGGCTCGAGCCCACCCCTGGCCGACTACATCATGCACTGGCCCTTGCCAGGGTGACGAGGCCAAGGCATCACCAGCTTTGACCTGGTGCCTCTGGCCTGGGCAACTGTCCCCTGTGCACTCAGCAAGGCACGTGCTAATTTAACCCAATCTGTCAGCCCAGGTGCCTGGAGCTGAAATGGCCTGCCCACTTTTGCCCCACCCCAGCCCCTTCTCAACATGAATCTTGAGAGTCCGTGGTGCGTTCTTCAAGAGTGGGCGCGCTCCAGGTGCTTCACCCACATCATGCACTTCATCAAAACCACTGTCAGAGGGGGCACCTGTTAGGATCCCCGTCTCCCAGAGGAGGAAACTGAGGCAGAGACAGGGTGGGTACCCCACCTGAGGACACACAGAGAATAAGCTAGGACAGAGCCCAGTGGCAGGTGCAGGCTCCTCCACTCAGTGACAGGCATGCAGAGAAGCCGGGGCACCTTGAGCTGCCATCCCGGGGCCACTTACCCACCGGCTTGCAGCCCAGGCCAAAAACATCCCCATAAATAACCGTCCACAGCTGCCCTCAGCCTCCTCTAGAAGGCAGGTGCCCCAGAAGCTTCCTCACAAGCTCTTTGACATTTCAGTGACATGCGGGTGGCTGAGGAGCCCTGAAGCCAGGTGAAGGTCCGGGAAGGTGAGACGGGGATTTAGCTCAGGCAGTGCCCACCAGCAGGGACAGCACCGCCATGGGCGCCTGCTTGGGAGGAACACCTCAGGTGGTTTTCCCGACGCTCAGTGCTCAAGGCCTCACACCCGTCCTTGCTGCACGTAGAGAATTAACTGAGCTTCCAGGGGTCCCTCCGTCAGCCCTGCCGGGTCCTGGTGCCACCAAACACTTAAGGATGTGGAGGTGACAAAGTCAATTACAGAGCTGAGTGCCTGCGCACACCAGTGACGTGACGCGGGACTCACAGCTGACAGAGCTTAGTGCCTGCGCACACCAGTGACGTGACGCGGGACTCACAGCTGACAGAGAGTGCCTGCGCACACCAGTGACGTGACGCGGGACTCACAGCTGACAGAGCTGAGTGCCTGTGCACACCAGTGACGTGACGCGGGACTCACAGCTGACAGAGCTGAGTACCTGTGCACACCAGTGACGTGACACGGGACTTACAGCTGGGGATGGGTCAGGGCAGCCCTGGCCGAGCAGCTGCCACATGGGGCAACCCCTGCAGTGACAGTATCAGATGGGTCTCCACCTCCCCAGGGTAGCCCATGGGGCAGAGCTGGGCTCCTCTGAGACCCACTGCAGCTCTGGGGAAGGGAGGGGTCTGGACATACCCTCATCACAGACTAAGAGGAGCAATGGGGATGAAGTGGCAGCCCAGGTCCCAGGTGGAGCTGCCTTGGACTCCAGAGCAGAATCCAAGGGGAGCTTGGGGGGTGAACATAAAAAAGGCCTGTGGGTCTGCTAGGGTGGAGGGTGAAGGGAAGAGAGCTGGGAACCTCTAGAGCAGGTTCCAACCCAGCACAGACTGGGGTTCAGACAAGCCCAGGACACAGCCAGGCAGCCCAGTGCTGGGGCACAAGTCACCTGCATCTGGACACTGCTATCCAACCTCAGAACCTCAACTTCAAGAGCAAAAAGGAATCCAAGCCCAAGGTGGGGTGGCTGTGCCAGGAAGGGTGGTAGTACCAAGTTTCCAATGATGCTGCCCCCATGTGTGACAACTCATGCCTCCCTCTGGGCCTCAGTTTCCCCATGTGTAAAATGAGAGGTTTGTACCTGATGCTGAGGCTCCTCTCAGCTGGGGTTCTGATGCCCTTTGAGCCCATGTGATGTCTGCAGGATCATTCACCAAAAGAACTTCTGACCAGGGTCCAAGGAGCCTGTGGGCATGATGGAAATCAGGATGGGTCCTGGCCTCGGTGGCCCCCTGGGGGTGAGGGACAAGGGCATTGAAAATAGGGCCAGAACCACAAGTGTCCTCCTAGGCCACTGACCACGAGGCAAGAAGATGTGAGCCTAGTCCAAAGGAGCGATTTCAGTGACAGGAAGGAGCAGACAAGCAAGGCAGAGCAGCCCATCCCGTGCCTCTGTACCCCTTTGTTGTATGCCACGGCTGGACACAAGGCCTGCCTCTGTTCCCAGCTGTGAATGGGGACAGGAACTCCTCCCCGGGAGCACAGAGTGTCTGCCTATGGATGCCAGTTCTCCCACCCCAGCCATCAGATTTGTGGGAACCCACCCCTGTGCTGGCCTCCAGAGCTGCCTGGGTGCAAGCACCACTCTCCCAGGAAAGTGGCTCAGGGCTGGCGGCATGTCATCTCACCACAGCAGTTACAGTAACCACCTCACACCGGATCTGCCCGGTTATTGTCAGAGTCTGGATGGAGGGGGAGCAAGAGAAGGCAGCCCTGCTTTCCCACGCAGCTGAGCCCTGCCTCATCATGGCGTTGGTCCCTGGCACCTTCTCCAACCCCCATCCTTTCCAAGGGGGTTCCTGAGCAGCCCCTTCTCACACATGAGTGGAAACATGAGCAGCCCCTTCTCACACACGAGTGGTAACATCATTGCTTCGAGGATGTTTGCACTCAACGTGTCCTCGGGGTCAGATCTTCTGACAATGTCCTCAGGGTACCTGAGGGTGTGGTGACTCAATGCCCACATTAGGACACAGATAAACCCATGTCCTCGTCCTTCCCACCAGGGACCTGGGGCTCAGGCACTGACGGGGATGCCCCTGGATGAAGCTGCTTCTGAGAAACCCGGGTGCCGCTGTGGCAGCGAACTCAGCTCCACTGCAGGACGGCCACCTGAGATGAAACCACTGCTCAGCAGCCCTGGGCGCAGATGTGACGTAAAGTCAGCCACATGACAGGAGACCCCTGAGACAGCCGGATCGAGGGCTCAGAAGGAAGCTTCTCCAAAGAGAGAGGCCACTGGCCGGCAAGCACAGGAGAAGATGCCCAGCCACACTGTCACCAGGGAAAGGCAAATCAAAGCCACAAAGAGATAGCACCGCGCACCCACTGGATGGCCAGGTGAGGCACACCAGAGAATAACACATGGTGCTGAGGACTCGATAAAGGAAGACCCTCTGCACCTCTGCTGGAAATGGAACGTCATTCAACCACCGTGGAAAACAGTTTGGCAGCCAATTTCATACCTGTGACCCCAAAGTATTGAAAGCAGGGACCTGGGTATTTCTAACAAGAGTGTGCCCAGCAGCACTTTTCATGACCACCAAAGGGTGGGAAGCACCCACGTGTCCACCCCGTGATGGACAATTCACCCCAACAGAAAGGGGGCCTGACACAGGCCACAGCAGGGAGGAACCCTAAAGATCTTATGCTGAGTGACAGACGCCAGACAAAAGCCCATGCAGATGAAATGTCAAGAGGCCAAGCCCCAGAGACGGAACTGCAGACTGGGGGTTATCAGGGTCCGGGGAGGGGAGTGGCCAGCCACTGTTTAATGGGCATGAGGTTTCCTCTTGGGGTTATGGAAATGTCTTGGAACTATGTAGAGGCGATGGCTCTGCAAGGTTGAGAAGGGGCTAAATGCCACCAAATTTTTTAAAAAGTTAGTTTTACATTATGTGAATTTCATCTAAATAAAAAAAGAACCCATAATTATTTGACACACTTTTTCTCCCTCTCTGCACCCCAGCTGCTGGGCCCATCGCCAGCTCCTGCTGTTCACATGAGGACGAGGACAGAAGAGCCCACGGGCAGAAGCGTGTGCAGGCGAACCCCTCCCCCACGGCCCACCCCTGTGTCCTTTGTACTCCAAGCCTCCCTGGCAGTGAGACGGGCCATGTGACAGGACCCCGTGAAACACAGACAAAGTGATGGTGGCCCCCCTTCCAGGCCTCAAAGCTCCTCAAGCCTCAGCCTCCTCAAATTCTGTGCCCTTCTGCGCAAATGGCTGGTCACACGAGCTGGAAGGTGTGGCCACCAACCCCAGGGCCTGGAAGACATGCCAGGCTGTGCCATTGTGTCAAGCAGGACACAGTGGACGGCGCTAAGCCCCTGAGACTGGGAGCGTTTCTGCCACCCAGTTCGGTCTCACCTACCCTTGCAGATGCAGGTGGTGGGGAGGCTGGGGAGTAAACATGATGTGAGCCCTTCCTCAGTCACGATGTTCCAAGGCTCTGTGGGGCGTCCTGTTTGTGACCTGCCAGACGAGTCTCCTGCAGAGATCACCTGTGGGCTGCCCACTGGTGCTGGGTCACACAGCCAGGCTGACCCCTCACGATGGCAGAGCATCGTGCCCACGTCTCTGAGTGCCTGTGAACCCCGCTTCCCCAGGTGAGGAGGGCCATACCCAGAGCCCTGCCTCAGCTAAGTGACTGGAAGGGGGCTCAGGCTTCCCTGGGCACAGCAGATGCCCCACAGGCAATAGTGGAGCAGCAGGAAGGGAAGCAGACCAGGAAGCCCCCGGCCCTCCCAGGACCAGCCCCTGGCTGCTGAGTCTGTACTGGTTTTAGTGGCAAGAAACCCAGTGAGCCCTCTCCCTCCACTGGACGCCCACCCCAGGTCCTGCTGCACCCCCAGCTCACTCACCCTTGGGTCCTGGCACCTGGTGTGCTCACCTGCCCCAGCATCTCCCAGCTCATTCATTAAATTCTAGGAAATAACATGGTTTCTTTTTCTCTTTCTGAAACACAAGGGAGAGAATTTCCTGGAGTCACAGAGGCACAGGAGGGAACTGGAAGCAACCTGGATGGCCCTTGTCCTGCCTCCTGCCCGGGACCACATTGATCCTCAGTCACTTCCCTGGAACCCTGGGCTTCCACAGGGCACAGACGTCAGCAGCCCAGGGCACAGAAGAGCCCAGAGCCAGGAATGGAAGTGCCACTGCCAGCAGCTGAATCTGAGAGGCAGCTCCAGGGCCCTGGGACCTAGTCCTGCTCCCCACAGACATCTCCCTGAGCTGGCCCCAGGCCTTCCGGGTATCCCCAGTATGAGGGAGAAAAGCATGCATCCACCATCCCGCCAGGTGGGCGCACACCTGTCCAGGGGCACAGGTGACCTTTCTGAGGTGGTGCCTGGGCCGCTGTACTTTGTGCTGCCACCTGAACTGCCGCCCTCAAGGTCCTGCCTGTGCCATCTCCCTGCCGCCGGCTCTCTAGGACGCAGAAGCCAAGCACAGAGGAGCTGCGGGAACACAGACCTCACTGCCCGCTCTCACACATTCCCTCCTCGCCTGGGGTCTCAGAGAGGACAGCTCAGGGATCCACAGGATTCACAGCCTCCAGGCTCTGGGGAAGGGGAGAACGGGGTCCCTGAGGCCCCCAAGATCATACACCTATGAGGCTAGGGCTCCATGGAGGTCCAAGTCTGCTCAGAGTCATCCATGTGCCTGGGCCTCACCATAGGGAGGTAAGACCAAAGTGGGGAGGAAAGGCAGGACTTCAGGCACTGCCAAGTGTCCTGGAGCCTGGGTCAGGAGAGGGCCTGTCCTCCAAGGTCTCCTGGGGGAGGTGGAGCCCGCCTCAGGGGGCACAGCATCACCTCCTTCAGCCCCAAGCCTGGGCCAGGCTGCCACTCTGGTGGGGGAGCCAGGTGGGCTCTGGGAGGCCTGGGACTTTCTCACCCCTCCCAGCCCCCAGGGGCACAGTGCCTGGGTGAGAGACCCCAGGGGACCTGTGAGCTTGACCTTTCTGAGTCACACTGACCCACGGCCTCCCAGGGGCCAAAGACCCCACCCCACAGAGCACAGAAGATGGCACTGGCAGGCCCAGGCACAGATGGTCAGGGGGAGAGAGCCCCACCGCTGTAGTCCCTTGTGGCCACGTTATGCTCCTTGTCCGGTAGCCAGCTCTCAATCTCCTGCACCTCACCACACAGGCGTGTGGAAGAAGTCACCGCACAGGGCCCTGACTGCTGCCTCTCCCTGCCAGGTGACAGCTTGTGAGGTCTCTGCTGCTGTCTCCCCAGGGTGAGCACAGACCGGCAGGAGCTGAGGCTACCCCAGGAGTGCTCCTGGGCTGCCCACAGGTGCTGCCGTAGATTCTCCTAAGTCGCTCACAAGGAAAAAGCTGTGGAGAGGCGGGAGGTGGGGTGGACAGAGGGCACAACCAGGGTGGGGGCTGGGGGGACAGCTCTAGCACCAGGAAATGGTCTCCCGGCACCCCCTGGAAGGGGCTGTCACAATAGACACGCAGCCCCCTCCACTCCAAAAGGATGGAGAGAAGCGTCAAGGTGAGGGCTGGGCTGTGCTCCACTCTGCCCCTGTTCCTTCTCCCAGGGTGAGCTGGGACTTGGAAAGGAGCCCTGTTCTGGACAAGGAAACATAGTTGACCCCTTGCCCCCTGCCGCCCAGCCTCCACCCTGCACCCTCCACCCTGTCCCCAGCATAGCAGCTTCCATCAGATGCCAGATCTCCAGGCAGGCAAACGCGGGCTGCAAGGGCCATAGCCTGACTTCCTCGCCACACACCTGTACCACCCCTGGCACAGATGTCTTCCCGCCCCTCCCTCAGGCCTCCTCTGATGTGGCCATGCCTCGTCTGGTCCCCAGACCCACCACACTCCTTGACATCAGCTAAAGCAAGGGTCCTACCTGAGAAAGCAGCTGAGACCCCGGGGCTCCTATTTCAGCCTCTGAGCACAGTTCCACGTGTCACTCCTGTATCTGGGCCAGGCTGTCCCCAGGGCACTGGAGCCTGAGGCAGATGCTTTACCTGTGAATGGGCAGGCTTGGGGCCACCTCCCTCGTCTGGGAGCCCTCCTCAGCCCCACCCCTGGACCCTCACCACTGGCCCAGAGAAGGGGCTGGAGCAAACCAGAGGACCCAGGCTGGGGAGCTCCTGCGTCCTTTCCCTCAGCACCAGAGTTCATTGACCATGGATGCCTCAGTTCCCTCACTTGTGAAATGGGCCAAGGTAAACCTGGTGAAGCTTCTGGCCAGAGAGAGGAGAGGAAAAAGAGAAAGGAGGACCGTGAGCAGGAAAGCGAGTGCCTCCGCCTGCTTGCAGGAGACAACCCAGATAGACCAAAAGCCAAGAGCACAAAACCATGTGACAGCTCAGACCAATATCAGCTTTTTAGACCTTGAAGGCAAGCGTGTTGGTGTTACAGTGACAGAATTAGAACCTAGGGGAAGGTGACAGAGCTGATGAAAATTTGAAGGCGGAGGTTGCAGTGAGCCGAGATTGTGCCACTGCACTCCAGCCCGGGCGACAGGGGGAGACCCCGTCTCAAAAAACAAACAAACAGAAAAAAAAAAAGAAAGAAAAGGAGAGTTCTCATCCCAGCCAAGTATAAAGATGCAACTTTTCCCAGAAAAAAGAAATAGAAGACAATGATGTGTGACCTGTAAATTACATGTAAAGAACACAGTAAAGATCGAACTTCTGAGGCATCAGTCTGAGAAGTTTTAAGAAGAAATAGATTTCAGAATGAAAAATTGTTACCTCTTGTATTCTCATTGAGAACAAATTCGTATCTTAAGAACAGCTTACTTTTCAACCAAAATTCTAGTTTGATATTAGCATATGTTTAAAATTGTAGCTAATTTTAATAAGACCTTATAAACAAATCTATCCCAGTTTTGATTGGGATTAGAAATTATGAGGTTATAAAACATTTGTTTCATAAGCCTTTTACCAACCCATAACTTTTTCTGTTTTATAACTGTTTACATTCATTCAATTGTATTTATCTTTTAAATTTTTCTTTAAAACAATCCCCAAAACTTTTAAACAAGGCAATATTGTTTCAAGTCATGAAATAACTCATCATTGTTTGTAGCAGTCTCTGCATTCAGCCTGCTCTAATATTTGGTTTCAGCTTTGGATGTCCCTATTCAGAAAACTGGCCTGTAATCTCCCTCTCATGGGCTGTCTCATACCGCACTTGGTATCAAGATTCTCCGGATCTGGTGAAGGCAGTGTTGCTATGTTCCTTCTGGATCTATTCTAGCAAAAAGCCTGCATAAACTTGGCATGGGAAACAGGACATTTTCCTAAATAGAGGAAAATGTTTAAGGCAAAAATCTTGATAGAAAAATCAAGAATACAAATTGAGTCGTAAAACTCTAAAATTTGAACATCTATAGACAAACTGGAGTTGGGGAAATAAAAAAAAATCAGGGAGACATTTTAAGTACAAGTGGCTGATCTGAAGAAACTGCAGTGAGAAGAGGGAAATGAGCACACCTTGAGAACTGCAGCAAAGGTCGCCTCCCGTCTTCATCACTGGTCTCCTGGCTCTGCACAGTGTCAAACGGCAGTTCACAGAGTGGCAGCTGGGACGGAGGCAGGACCTTCATCATGAGATGACAGCGGATGCACTCAGGGTGCTACGGCCGTAGACAAGGGCTCCATCTTCAGACGACCTCCGTGGCAGGTCACCGTAGAATGTTCAAACGAACACGTGCCACACTATGGGGTCCAGCTGCTTCTATCTAGACAAACGTCTTTTGGTTGCAAATTCTACATTCTTTTTAAAAGCCAGCATTTCTCATGAGGAAAATGCTCTCTGCCATGCAGTCCGTCCCTGAAGCTGTCACCTGCGGGTGCCATCTTGAATCAGGGCTTAGTTGGTAATGGACTCTTATATTTGCTCACCAAGAAATTCTGCAATTCATCTATAATTTCCACGGTGAGATTTGCGTATCATAATGCAAATAAAATGGAAAGAAGCCAAGAGAAATAAAATTCCCATCTTAGACAAAGAAAGAAGACTTTACCTGGCAAAGAGCTAGGGTCATTTCTGGAAACATCTCACTGGCCACCATCGCTAGGAAACATAGAGTCACTGTCAGCTGTGGGAGCTGCTGAAGGACCTCTGGCAGCCTTGGGTGCTGGGCACACAGGGCTGGCATGTGTGGAGGAGGTGGGTGAGAGCACAAACCGAGCTGCTGCTGGGCCACCCTCCCTGGTGGTGAAGGAGGCAGAGGAGACCATCAGGAGAGCCCTGGGAGACACAGCCTTGGGTCTCTGGCTAAGCCACGCTCATCACTGTGAAGTAGGCAGTGTGTTCACACAGGCAGCACACAAATGCAGGACATCACTCCAGGACAAGGTCTCCTCACAGAAAGAGGCCTGGTAAATATCCTTTTTTTTGTAAAAATGTTACTATGTCATCTAACTTTCCTAGAAATACCTATGCTCCTACTGCAGTTATTTTAATGGACTTTAAAATATGGTGAGCTACACATAATATTTACTATTTTAATCCTTAATTTCACGATCCAGGAGCAGACAGGACCATAACAGCAGACAGAGAGGGGAGCCCAGGCACTTCTCCCTAACCCTGAATCAGAATCCACACAGGAACCTGGAAATGTGTGGGGCTCAGCAGACTGCGGAGGGTGAGCAGGAAGCCTTTTCACACTTCTGGTCTATCTCAGCACTCGGCTGTGTGTACTAGAACATCACTGGGGCCCCAAGATGGGCTGCCTGGGGCTGAGCTCTGGGATAAGAAGGAACAAGGAGGACACGACCCCTATCCTCACAGTGACCAGCCATGGCCAGGATCCCTCCACCCATGGGCGGCAGGTCACAGACTTTGGCACTGATGAGTCCAAGCCTATCTCAGAGAAACAAGCAAAGTGACATCTTATGGGTCACAAGGGAGATTTGCAAGGAACAACTGGCCTCTGGGGCAGCCCCTCCCTTTGCTTAGCTCATCCTACACTGGAACTGGATCCTCTCCCTCTCTGCTGCAACCAGTGTGAAGCAGCTGCCCTGGCCAGTAGCTGTGAGGCTCCCTCCAGTTAAATAGGATTCTGGCCAACACACACCAGCCCCATGCACACAACTCCACCCCACGTAGAGAGAACGCGGCGGCTCCCAGGGACTGCAGAATGTGCCCGTCTCTCCTTACCTGGAGCAACCACTTCACCACCACAGCCTGGTCCTCAGTCACAACAGGAAGCTCCACTCCGGCTGCCTGTGTGCAGGAAAGCCAGCGACACAGCGGCACATTCCTCATCACCTGGATTCTTCGTCCACACGGGAGGGACTGCCCCACATACACCGTTCTCCTTGACTCCTGAAACTTCCTGTAATAACAGAAAACATATTGCTGTGAGCATCAGGCTGTGCTGTGTCCTGTGCGCGCAGGTCTTTTCTTCACTTGGTGACATTAGAAAACCAAATGAAAAACTGTGTTAAAGTCTAAGGAACACAAAAGAACAGGACAAACCGCCTCACGCTACAGACACGGTTTCCTTGAAGTATGTTTCCTCCAAGTCCATGTGGCTTGGCAATTAAGTAATTTTATTCCAAGGAGAGAATCAAGCTGCTAAGGAAAACGCTTACTCCACACAGTGCGTGGCTGATGCTGTCATTTTATCCTGCTATTCAAAAGCAAGCCTCACTGGGGAACAGGCTCTCACTCAGAATTCACCCGACCAAGGACACGGTGTAAGTCGTCTATAATACATATGGTCAGATTCTCATCTCGTAGGCTCATTCAGAAAGATAAAGCTAGGAAAGCAACTGTATTCCTCAGACAAATGCAGGGGTCTGACCTTCAGTTTCCATGGGGCCTCCTTTTTCTTCTCCCTGAGGTGTTTCTCCATTGGGTCCTCGGTGGAATCTAGGAAGACAAAGTAAGACCATCAGCAGGTGCAGGGAGGAGCAGGAAAAACAGCTTTCTAGCCCCAGGCCGCCTCATCAGGTAAAACAGCCCATCTTGAACAGGGCACAGCACCCAGGGCAGGCTGGGCGTCCCTGCAGCCTCTCAGGGCTCCTGCCTCCTAATCGGACCCAAGCTCACTTGCCCTCCCTTCCTGCATCCTTCCAAGGTCATTTCCTCCCTAGAATCCACCTGTGGTGCTACTGTGTGTATCTGTCATTCCAGAATATTTTATACTCGGTAAAAAGAAACTGTTGTTTAAGAGAACATTTCATTCTAGCCAAAATATTCTATATATTCACTAATCTTTTGTTTTAAAGATAATAAAACAAAGCTTTGAAAATACGAAGTTATCTTCTCATTTAAAGATAATTCCTACTTAGCAACTGCTATCTGTCCTGGCACTCAGCCTTCTCAATGCAATGTGTATGTGTGGGTCGGGAGTCCGTTGCTGCTCACACGCACAGGGGCTCTGACACTGGGACAGTCTATCATGGGACAGCAGGTGAGGGTGCGGACCCTCCCCAACCCAGCCGTGCAGGGGAGATGGGTGGTAGGCTAACACCCAAGTTGTTCCTTGAAACCATATTCGGTGCTGGGTCTTCACTGTGTTTACTCCTCAACTAAAGCATTTATTTTTCCTCTTTATTATTATTATTTTTTTGATAGATGGTCTCTGTCACCCAAGCTGGACTGTAGTAACATGATCTCTGCTCACTGGAACCTGTGCCTTCTGGGCTCAAGTGATCCTCCCCACTCAGCCTCCGAGGTAGCTGGGACTATAGGTGCACCACCACACACAGCTAATTTTTTTTTTAAATAGATACGGGGTCTCACCATGTTGCCTAGGCTGATCTCCACCTCCTGGACTCAAGCCATCCTCTTGCCTCAGCCTCCCAAAATGCTAGTATTACAGGCGTGAGCCACCCACCTGGCCAACTGGAGCATTTCTGAGGCTTGTGATGATCCTGTTATTAAACACAATAGAGCAGGTCCCTGATTATTCTCTGCTTTTGACCACGAACTGAGAAATGACCCCACCACTGCTGCTGACAGCCTGTGAGCTCTCTCTGTGTGTTTCACATTAATGATCACACCAAAGTCCAGTGGAAAATGTAACTATTCCTACCCTGGGTTAGGGAACCTTTGAGACCTCCCCACACCGACAGTGTTTGGGGCCTGTCTAGGCTCTCATCCTTCCACACGCAGACAGATGCCGGAATTCCCTGGCATGACGAGTTACACCAGGGCTGGCTGGTGAGTGCACAACAGTAGCCCATTGCATCAACCCTCCATCCATTCCTGAGTTCACATTCGCCTCTTCCATTTAGGAGATCGAGAGCCTGGGAAACTCATCTCTGTACCACCTCTGAGCAGTGTGGATGTAAAATTTACCTTCAGGGACAGCTGTGGTGGAGGATCAATGGGTTAATTATGTGAAGTGTGCAGTGGTGATGCAATTTTTTAAGAAAAGTGCTCCCTGGGTTGTGCCCTGCACGGGGAAACATGCTTTCTGGGGAAATGCACATGCACTCCCAAGACATTCCCAATCACTCCTCTCCACCCCGATGCACACCACACTATTCCATCTACTTGACAATCCTGCCTCCCTAGACTCCAGTGGATGGTCACAGTTCTTTATTGGACTCAGTGTTTTTTACACCGAACTGTCCAAACCTCATTTCTGTCAGGAAGCTCAAACTGAAGTGGCTCTCCAGCAAAAGCAGGCTAGGAAGTGCTACCTTTGGCAACACTAAAGATCTCTCCTTAGAAAGCAGTGCTTCCAGAACACACACCTTTTTCTTTGACGCATTTGTCAGCCTGCATTTACAGAAAGAAAGACACTGTGAGCTTCAGACCATCCTGTGTCCTGTGTGCACACGTCTTTTCTTCACTTGGTGACATTAGGAAACCAGATGGGAAATCGTGTTCAAAGGAACACAGAAGAATAGAACGAACCGACTCATGCTAAAGTTTTTCCTGGAGGATGGTTCCTCTCAAGGACATGTTGCTTGGCAGTTAAGTGATTTTGCCCCAAGGGGAGAATCTAGCTGCTAAGGGAAAAGCTCACGGCCACTCAGTGTGTGGCTGATGCTGTCATTTTCTCCTGCTGCCTTAAGTCAAGCCTCAGTGGGGAACAGACGCTCATTCAGAATTTCCCCCACCAACGACACCATACAAGTCACCTATGATACATATGATCATATCTTAATAAGAAAATAACTTTCTCTCAGATAAAACCAGGTGGCCTGACCTTCAAATGCCATGGGCATCCTCATCTGAGCTCACTGGCGAGGCCTTCCAGGGGATCCTCAGCAGGAACTAGGAGGACACAGAGTGACCGTGAGCACCTTAGTGGTGTTGCCCATCAACAATTCAGAGCCACTGGTTGACATGGGTGTGGGCCACTCCACACTCCACTCGACCTGGGTGGAGAAACCAACTCCAGTGAAACAAATGTAACTTTCTTTGAGACTGGAAGGATCTATTTCTATGTTTACTCAAAGAAGCAGTAAACTTCTTCTAAGGGAGAATTTGGCTACTTTCAGCTTCATGGGGAAAGTGTGAAGGGGGTGCCCTTGCCCCCTCTACACAGGAGAAGTGCGATGTGCTACTGGCAGCCTAGGAGAGCCAGCAGCAGGAGCCCCAGAGAGGCCAATTTTTCCCCCAAAGAAATGATGCCCAGGATCACATTCACCTCTAACAAGGGGAAGTCATGGACCTGTGCTGGGAGGATGGCTATGAACACACACCTCAACGACCCCAATATGGATGACTCTTGACAGACATCTGGACTCACCCCAATGAAGACCAATGGGAATAACTGGGCTAATCCCACTGAGGATCATTAACACCTGGGCTGAGCCCCTCCCGCCCCCGCCCCGGGAACAACGTCAGCTGGACACAATGAGGATGTCTATGAAAACTTGGGTGTTCTCAGAAGAGGACGGCTATGAACACATGGCCTGGGCCCACTGAAAACTGCTGCTAGGCTGGGCCCAGGAGGCAGCTTTGAACAGATGGACTGATCAGGACAAGGATAGCTGTGAATACCTGGGCGGGCTGGCCCAGATGAAAAGGGTTATTAACTTCTGGGCTGGTCCCCAATTAGGACATATGAGAAAACCTGGACTTCCCCAAGTAATGATTGCAACAACTGGGCTCAGTCCGATGAGGATAGTTGTGAACACCTGTGCTGTGCTCAATGGGGATGACTGTGTACAATGGGGTCTGGCCAACGACAGGGGTGTGTGTGTGTGTGTGTGTGTGTGTGTGAACAACAAGGCTGTTTATTTCACCTGGGTGCAGGCGGGCTGAGTCCGAAAAAAGGAGTCAGCAAAGGGTGGTGGGATTATCATTAGTTCTTATAGGTTTTGGGACAGGCAGTGGAGTTAAAAGCAATGTTTTGGGGGCAGGGGGTGGATCTCACAAAGTACATTCTCAAGTGTGGGGAGAATTACAAAGAACCTTCTTAAGGGTGGGGAAGATCATAAAGAACCTTCTTAAAGGTGGCGGAAATTGCAAAGTACATTGATCAGTTAGGTGGGGCAGAAATAAATCACAACAGTGAACTGTCATCAGTTAAGGCTATTTTCACTTCTTTTGTGGATCTTCAGTTGCTTCAGGCCATCTGGATGTATACGTGCAGGTCACAGGGGATATGATGGGCTTAGCTTGGGCTCAGAGGACTGACATTCCTGTCTTCTCATATTAATAAGAAAAATAAAACAAAATAGCGGTAAAGTGTTGGGGCAGCGAAAATTTTGGGGGGTGGTATGGAGAGATAATGTGCGATGTTTCTCAGGGCTGCTTCGAGCAGGATTAGGGGTAGCACAGGAACCTACAGTGCGAGAGATTCAACTGAAGAAAGATTTTGGGGTAAGGGGCAATATTGTGGGGTTGTTAGAAGGAGCATTTGTCGTATAGAATTACTGGTGATGGCCTGGATGCGGTTTTGTATGAACTGAGAAACTAAATGAAAGACACAAGTTCCGAATAAAGTAAGAGGAGGAGAAATATAGGTATTAAAGGACTAAGAATTGGGAGTATGCAGGACATCCAATTAGAGAGTGTCCAAGGGGGTTCAATGTTATTGTTTGCTTGACTGGTGAGTTTTTGGGCTCTATCCTTGAGTTTTATGTTGTCATGTAACAGGCCAGATGATTTAGATAAAAACAACACTCTTCATTTAAAAATATACGGAGTCCTCTTTTTTCAGCAGTAAGTCGAGGCCTCAGCAATTTTGGAGGAAAGAGAAATGAAAAGCCAGCATTTTTTTGTTAAAGAAGGATTAGAAACGCCTAGGAAAGAGTAAGTTTGATAGTGTGGTGGAGATGGCTGGGGAAAGGTAGAGGGTGGCATAGGAATGGGAACCAGAATAAGAGTAAGTATAAAAGTAAAGAATAGGACTTCATCAGGGTGAAAGTATTGGAGGGTACCTTGCCACTGAAGATCTATCCACTTCAAGAGAGACTTAAGGGTGGCAGATTGAGGTAAAACCAGGAGCCACTAAATACCAAGAGCCTGAGAAACTGCTTGGGTGATTTGACTAATAAAGGCCAGTCTGTTATTGGACTGTATAGAGGTGGGACGGCCAAACTGAGGAATTATGTCTGATAGAAGGGAAGAAATGACCGCGGTGGCCTTCTCAGACCCTGTGGGAAAGGCCTCTACCCATTCAGTGAAAGTGTCTACCCACACCAAGAGGTATTTTAGTTTCCTGACTGGAGGCATGTGAGTAAAGTCAATTTGCCAGTACTGGGCAGGGACAAATCCCCGAGCTTGATGTGTAGGGAAGGGAGGGGGCCTGAGTAATTCTTGAGAAGTAGAAGAATAGCAGATGGAACACTGAGAAGTTATTTCCTTGAGGACAGATTTCCACGATGGAAAGGAAATGAGAGGTTCTAAGAGGTGGGCCAGCAGCTTGTAACCTACATGGAAGAGGTTATGTAATGACGACAGAATAGAATGGGCCTGTGAGACTGGAAGAAGATATTTTCTTTGGTCCAAGAACTATTTGCCTTGTGCAGGAAGAGATAGGTGGAGTTTCAGTGAGGGAGTAGGTGGGAGTGGCCAAGTGAGGAGAAAAACTGCCCTGAGGGACAGAAGTTGGAAAGCTTGCTGCTGTTTTTGCTATCTTATCAGCGTAAGTGTTGTCCTGAGTGATGGGATCTGATGCCTTTTGATGGCCTTTGCAATGAATGACTCGAGCTTTCTTTGGAAATGAAGCGGCCTTGAAAAGAGTTTTTATTAAAGAGGCATTAATGATGAAGGACTCTTGTATAGTAAGGAAACTTCCTTCTGCCTATATAACAGCACGGTGGTGCAGGATATGGAAGGCGTAGTCAGTATAAATATTGACACGTAGTCCTTTTTCAAGAGTGAGGGCTCCAGTTAAGGCAATGAGTTCGGCTTGCTGAGAGGTAGTGGAGGGGGCAGAGCGGTGGCCTCAATGATAGATGTGGAAGATACTGTAGCATAGCCTGCCTTTGCTGGTGAGTGGCGATTAGGCCTGGTGGAACTGCCATCAATAAACCAATTGTGATCAGGGTGAGGAACAGGAAAGAAGGAAACATGGGAAAATAGAGTGAATGCCAGGTGGATCAGACAGATACAGTCAAGGAGGTCAGGTGTGGTATCAGGAATAACGTGGGGGCCAGCCTAAAACAGCAAGGTCAAGTTGTTTGGACAGAAAGGCTACAGGGCACGGTTCCGGCTCTTGTGTAACAATTCCGACCACACAGCCCTGCAGCTTCGGCTGTGTGTGATGGAAACGGGCTGGGATGAGTTAGGGAGAGCTAGTGTGGGGGCAGCTTCTAGGGCTGTTTTTAAGAAATGGAAAGAGGAGTGAGGAAAGGATTTAGGATCAATGGGGCCAGCTAGGTTTCCTTTTGTGAGTCTATATAATGGTTTTGTTAGGACAGCAAAACCAGGTATCCAAAGGCGAAAGTATCCAACCATGCCTAAG